TTTTATTTATTTTTATCTTCCAACATAAATGTGGAGTCACACTTTGTTTTTATGGGGAAATCTGATGTATGAATACTTTGAGAGAAATGGCATGAGCAAGATGTATTTATTCCTGATATAGACTCAATGGGTCATTATTAAAATCAACCTTACAGGCTCACTCTCCGGCCACTGCAGTCAGGTATCTCATTTAAAACACGGGCTGTTTAATCCAGGCTATGACAAAGACAGCTAGAGGGTACACAGGGTAAATGGTGTAAGGGACCCCATGTAAGCTATGATGCAGAACAGCTTCCACCATGAGCAGCTTAGAAACAGGCTCCAAGGCAATTGTAATCTAGTCTCTGTTCTTTCATGTTGAAATTGTACTTAACAGTTATGAGATGTCACAACTAGATGCTCTCAAGTGCATATGATTTGAACAAGTGGAAATGACAGCAGAAAGAATGGTTTGTTTTGATTAAGGGAACTGGGGAGAACGTAAGGGAACGGGATGGTCGAACTGGAACAGGGACGGAGTAGGAGAGCAATGAAAGAGATACCATGATAAAGGGAGACATCATAGGGACAGGGTGAAACCAGGTGCTGGGGAAATTCCCAGGAATCCACAGGATGACCCCAGCTTAGACTACTAGCAATAGTGGTGAGGGTACCTGAACTGGCCTACCCCAGTAATCAGATTAGTGAATACCCTGTTATCATACAGCCTTCATCCAGTAACTGATGGAAGCAGATGCAGAGATCCAGAGCCAAGCACTAGGCCATGCTCCAGGAGTCCAGTCGAAGAGAGAGAAGAGGGATTCCACGAGCAAGGGGCATCAAGATTATGATGGGGAAACCTACAGAGACAACCACACCAAGCTAGTGGGAACTCATGAACTTTAGACCAACACCTGTAGAGCCTCCATGGGACTGGACTAGGCCCTCTGCATAATTGAGACAGTTGTGTAGATTGATCTGCTTAAGGGGCCCCATCCCTGGTGCATGAGCAGGCTTTTTAGAGCCCAGTACCTATGGTGGGACATCTTGCACAGCCTTGATACAGGGGGAGGGGCTTGGACCTGCCTCTACTGAATATACCAGGCTCTGCTGACTCTCCATGGCAGGCCTTACCTTGCCTAAGGAGGGAATGAGGGGGTGGGCTGGGGAAGGGGAAGGCTGAAAGGGCAGGAAGAGGGAAGAGAGGGGGATCTATGGTTGGTATGTAAAATGAATAAAAAATTTAATAAAAAAGTGAAAAAAAAACCAAAACAAAAAGGGAAATGGGAACTTGGGAAGCCTGGATTACCTGATGGAAGGAAGGGTGGTAAAGGGAAGTGATCATGTGGTAATGAGATGCCCAGAATAAGAAGGTACATTAGTTTGGACATAATGAAGGTAGCCAAGCAAGGGGATGACAAAATCTGAACCGAGCTCCCAAAAGATGAGGGTAGGAGCAGTGTGTAGAAAGCTTAAAGGAGAAGAGAAAGGCTCTCTTCCAAGATCAGGAGAAACAATCCACATAGTCCTAATGAAGGAAAACGAGAACGGTGGCTACTGGAATCGGGCAAAGCAGCCAGACACCAGACAGTGTTGCCAAAGGAACACCAAGACTGCCTGGCGATGCTTGGCTGGGGTGGCAGAGCTGGGGGAGAAAGGGAGGGCCTGAAACTCACAGGACCGAGGAAACACTGAGAGCAGGAGGGTGGGGTGTCGTGGAGATGCAGGAGTGGGCATCTGAGGGAGCTGGGGAGATGCTTCTAGACATTAAAATTTGCAGTAACAATGGGAAACCAAGTCAGGCATCCAAAGCAAGATTCAGTTATGCTTCTGGTGACAAGGAGAGAGAGGTGAAGGCCAGAAACACAGTTTTACAAATAACATCCAAACAGGTTATTGTTGAAGCCAGCAAGAGGTGTGAGTTATTATCAAGAAAAAGGGGCGCTATGTTGAAATACTTAAAGGAGGCTCAGCAGATGAGACTGTCTCATTGACTAAATAAAATGTAAAAGAAGTTTATTTAGGGCCAACAGCTCAGAGTACATGCTAATAGGCCAAGTTTACTAGATTAGCTCTATTTAAATATTAAAATGAAAGCTATGTATCATGAGAAATGCACCTAACAGTAAGGTATAGAAAGATTGGAAATGAAAAAAAAAAAAAAAAGGAAAGGAAGCTTTCATTTTCCAGGAAAGTATGAACGGAGAGAAGCTGATGTAATTGTATTAATACCAGATGAGCTGAAATGCAAGGCCATTGTCAGGAATGAATGAGGTTGTTGAAGAATGGCAGGCAATGATTCACTAGGAAATATAGCCAATCGTAAAATCTTATGAGCCTAGGAACACAATCTCCAAACACATAAAGGAAAAATTTGACAGAGTTTCAAGGAGAAATTGATGCAATCTCCCATGGTAGAAGGTTTGAAATTCTCTTAAAAATGACACAAAGCAAAAATAACGAAACTTCACATGGTGTGGCTTCAATGGGTGAAAGCCACGAGAAAGGGAAGGGATAGAGGAGAAGAAATAGATGTTTGAGGATGAGAGGAAAATGGAGCCACCGAAGGGCTGGCAAAGTGGGAATAAAGGTGGAACCCCACAAATAGAGCAACAAAGAAGGTTATTGTTAAAAAAAATGCTTCCTAGAGCAAGATCACAGAGGAAGTATGATGTGAGGGTGTTGTGTGGTCTATGTTGGGAGAACCATCTTAGAATACCCTGATACCAGATAAAAAGGAAGAAACATAGATCAGGCTATTTTGCGATGGAGGGGAAACAAGTGGGTAAGTTTATGGCCTTGATTTCTCTCAAAAGCAGGCCTCTGCTGAATACGAGGGGGATGAGTCATCAATACATTTGCTGTTCCTATCTAGTAGTGCAGTTTTGGCAATACAACTTTAAAATTCACGTGTGAGCAGAGGGCAAACTAGCCAGCGATACTGGAGAGGGCTGGTTTCTAGGGAGGATAGTATTTTCTTACAAGATGACAGGTTTTGGATAAGCAGAGGAGAAATGAATTTCAAGAACTCTATGAAACTAGGAGAATGTACAGTACCTCTGAGATGATGCCAAGCAGGGCTGCCTCACCTGCTGGAAACATCGACAGACCCATCTAAATAGGTGTTCCTAGTGATGCCCTTTACTGTGTGAGTTAATTGGCTGTGGTGAGGAGAAGGATGTTGCATTAGCCATAGAACCGGGAGCCTTAGCTGAATTGGTTAGATTTGCCTAAGAAAATATCTCATGGAGCTTTTAAAAGACAATCAAAGGGCAGCTGAAGGATAAGAAGGAAGAGGAATTTCACCTTGCAGTGTCTTTTTGCTCTCTATGCCATGTGCCTGGTGAGTGGGGATTACTTTACACCAAGACCCTCCCCACTGGTTCTTCTGGATTGTATGCAGATGCCTTTCCTGAGTGAGGTGATACCCCAATTTACTCCTCTGCTTTTACAAAAAGAGAAATTCCTACCTTCTGTTCCCCTCTTTTGTAAAGCATCTAGTGCTGTCCACACTGTCCCTCCGAAATGGAAATTATTTAAATTAAGTATGACTTTATGAATCCTTAACATTTCTGCCCATATGTGGAGAGATGAGCACTTATTGCTTGCTCAGAATACATTTCCTTAGCCTGGAGCTGGGAGGGTGTCCCATTTCTTAATTTGCCTAGAAATGCACTCAACCTTTTCCTTGGGGTTCATAATGAAATGACAATGATCCAGCAGGATCCTACAGGGCAGTCTCATAAAATACCCTGACAAGTCTATCCAGTATCATTTACTTTTATAACCTCTAATGGCTCCTAGAAATTTTGCTAGAATTGCCTTTCTAGGAAATTCCAAGGCTACTGAAAATTCCAGTCATGGTGAGGGTTCATCATTAGCTTTGGCCTCAGCATCTAACTACTATCAGAACTCAGAAGAAAATCTCCTCATCTCATAGAAGGAACAAGCACAATAGTCTCATGGCCATGGACTCTAATTGCTTGTTTGGCAGGGTATGTACTTGGGCATGTAGATATTCAGGAATTAGAGGTGTCTCCAGTTTCTCTGTTGTCACCCCAAGCCTAGAAGCTTCTAGAAGCCTTGATTGACAAGGGTGTGTGGATGTCTTCTATGAATGCCCTGCTTCCTGAACCTGTTATTTCATCTAAACATTTGGTTGCCTTCATCACCAGCTCAATTGGCCTTTGTTTCCTGAGAGCCTGATGGGAATCTTCCCAGAGTGATTTACTCTGATGATTTGGATGCGACAATTGCTGAATAAAAATACTTTCCACACTGACTGACCATCACTGGTTTTACATCTCATTACTCATCAAGTGAGCCTGAACATTCTCAAGTGAAAGGTAAAGGTACCATTTTTTTCCTCCTACGGGAGAGTTGTAAAGATCACTTGTGTTCATAGACAGGAAGACTCAGCTCTCTGCCCGGCATATATTAAAGGCTCCCTAGTGTTAGCTCATGCTGTCTCTCTTCACCCTTCCAGAGTGTCTCTGGTATCTCCACATCTGGAAGACACTTTGAACTGATGTAAGACACGTTTAAGCAGCATCTCAATAGCACTACAGGAACCTTACACCGATGTTCCAGAGCTTCTAAGGTACTCAATCGATTGTCCATCTGTTCTACTTAACATATTAACATGGATGTTTTCTTACTAGATGTGTAGTGACAAGAAACACCCAGTGACTGTCAGTTTACAAGCAAAGTGGAACCCCATCCCTAAGAGAGGCTCAACTGAACATTCCCAGGAGGAAACTAATTTTATATTCTCCTTGGCTCATTTGGTTGAGATAATCTGAAGCATTTAGGTGAACCCAAAACAAGAAAAACGCAGGAAACTTGGCTACACATACTACACACACTTCATTAGAGGCAACACCAGAAAAATCCATCAGTGCTGGAGCCAGTGGCACCTCTGGAGAACTGTGAAAGCAAGGCTGGGAGGAGAAAAGGGCACAGGGTTGAAGCAAGCATTTGGAAGCATGGAGAGTGCCCTGCCACCTACGGGGCTGACATACCAGTTCCTTCTTCTTCATGCATTCCATGAGGATGATGAACAGGTGCTGAGCTTGGGTGCGAGTGTACGTGAAGGTCTTCTGTATTGTCACCAATAGCTGGTCCCTTAGAGATTCATTGATAAGTCTGCAATGCAAACCAAGATCAGTCAGGTCAACACAACTCCTGTTCAGTGTGTGTGTGTGTAGTGTAGTTTATCTTAATTTACATATAATTGCTCATAGTTGATAGGGTGATGTTTCAATATACTAGACACTATGGACTAATAAAATCATCAAGGTATTTACTGCATCCAGCATTTTATACATTTATCATTTCTTTGAGGTGATAACACTCAAACTCTCCCTTCTAGCTATTTCAAAACACCCAGCACAGTATTCTTTACCATAGCCACCCCACAGTGAAGTTGGAACATTATAGAACACGAGAGAGCATTGGGGATTTATTTTTAATCAGAGTTACTTCTTCCTGTGGTTTTCCCACAACAGCTGTTTTGAATGTGTCAATTTACAAAGCAGTGCATTTGAAAATAAATTCATGCCTCAGAACCTCACAGGGTGAATAGGAAGTGGCCTTAGTTGTTTGCTGCCATTTCCCCTTTCCCATAGTCACGTGTTCAGTGCCTGCTACCTCAAGTTCTGCTATTAAAGATGCCTTCAATTGTGTTTGCTACATCTAGGAAAGGATTTGCTGTGTCGTTTCCCCACAAACTGTAATTTATAACTAATTATGGGAAGAAAAGTTACATCTCAGCAATGTATTTTTCAGCATCCATATGTGGTGATATTATGTTCCCAATATATTGTGTACCCTAATAAACTTATCTGGGGGTCAGAGAACAGAACAGCCACAATCTTAAACATAGAGGTTAGGCAATGGTAGCACACACACCTTTAATCCTAGCATTCTGGAGAGAGAGATCCATCTGGATCTCTGTGAGTTCAAAGCCACACTGGAAACAGCCAGGCATGGTGACTCATGCCTTTAATCCCAGGAAGTGATGACAGGAAGCAGAAAGGTATATAAGGCATGAGGACCAGGAACTAGAGCCTGTTAAGCTTTTAGGCTTCTAACAGCAGTTCAGCTGAGATCCATTCGGATGAGGACTCAGAGGCTTCCAGTTTGAGGAAACAAGATCGCCTAAGGAGTTGGCAAGGTGAGGTTAGCTGTGGCCTGTTCTGTCTCTCTGATCTTTCAGCATCCACCCCAATACCTGACCCTGAGGTTTTTTTTTTTTATTAATAAGACCCTTTAAGATTCATGTTACATCAATGTAATATGTGGACATCAGTAAAATGCTTATTGTACAAACATGAAGACTGGCGTGTGATCCCCAGGATCCCTGTAGAAGCCAGGTGTGACACACACCATCACCCAGGAGGCAGACATGGAAGAATCTGGGGGTCCCTGGCTATCTAGCTAGCCTAATCAGCGAGTCCCAGGTCCCAGTGTGAGACTGTTTAAGAAAATGAAGGTGGATGGCTCCTGAGGAGTGACACTCCAGGCTGACCTCTGGCTTCCACATACATGTATACACAGACACATATGTGCACATGTATTCCCCCAGAGAAACAGGCACATACCCCCAAGTGGAAATAGGAGTTAGGTTGCTACCTTAAGAGCTTTAAATGTTTTTTTTTTAATTAAAAGAAGGTTTTTGTTTTCTAGTGAGCCAAAGTCTGATTCATAGGAAGCAGCATTCCTAAAGCCTAGTACTGTTTACTTCAGTGTATCTCGTCGGTGCACATTTAGGTCTCAGCACTAATTTTTAACTCCTCTCACTAGCCTGGTGAGAGGGGCATCTGCCAGTCACCAAATGGCAAGGGCATCAAAACATATTTTGCTACGAAGCAATAGCTGTTCAAAACCGGAAGGATAAAAACTCTTTCCCACTCTCTAGGACAGTGGTAAAATAGTATTTTCTGCCTGTCACTTGTACATTTTATACATGACACATTGCTTTCATTACTGAAGTATCAGCAGCTCCTAGATAAGATAGAATATTATTTCATTTTATGCTGGCAGGAATCCTGAAGGCAAGAGATTTGTTTAATTTTACAGGCATAGATTTTAACCAGGCTGAGCCAAAAACAGATCCACACAGCCCATAAGGCATGCCAGAAACAGAATACCACCCAGTTCCCTTTCATGCCACCTTGCTGCCTCTCTCTGCAGCTTGGGCTTCACAATGTTGCCTCCCTTCAGTGCTGTGGCCACTACAGCAGACAGTTGAGATTTCCTTCCACTGGGAAGCAAGACAAGAATCTTGAGGATGCCTTTCTATCGGGGTTCGCAGGAGCACAGAAGGTTGTTCATTGTAGTATCCTTACTTTGAAAAATGTCTAAGCCCAGGGATCCTGAAAGTCCTTTGTCTGAGGATCAGAAGGTTGGATCACCTCACATTCACTCCTCACTCAGGAAGAACAGTGTCGAAGAACATGCATGCTTAGAGAAAAGCGAGTTCAGGTGAGGGTGAGAAAGGAAATCCCAAATGTTCTTTTAAGGTTAAGTGATTCTGTATCACTCCATGGCCTTAGCATCAAATCAGCTTGAAATCATCCCATCCATCCATCCATCCATCCATCCATCCATCCATCCATCCATCCACCCATCTATCCATTTACTCACCCACTCACCTACCCATCATTCACTCCTTTAGAAAATTCATGTGGACATCTACTTGGTAGTAGGCACTGTGGTATATGTCAGGGATGTATAGATAGATGCAGTATGGTTATGCCCAGCCTCCAGTGGAGTAGAAAGACATGGATTAGGCATTCAGCCACAATTGTCAGTGGTAGAGAAGTAGAGGAGCTGGTGAGAGGTGACCTGGGGAAAACTGAGGACATGAAGCTTTCCCTGACACTTGCAGAAGAATGAGCCCTAGAAAAGGTTGAAGGTGATAAGGGTGGGGAAGGACAGACAAAATGGCCTGGTTTGGAGAAGGGAGAAAAGGGTAGTATGGCTGGAGCATGTGAGTACCGCAGATACAAAATGACCCCTAATGGTCTCTCTGATAAATGTGTGGCCTCAGCTTGGTGCTAGTGGGAGATGGAATCTCAAAGAAGTGGTTAGAATGACAATGTTCCTTATAGCCTCAGAAGTTTGAGCACGTGGTCTCCAGTTGGTGGTGCCTGTCTGGGTTGGTTTAGGGGTTGTGGGCTTGCTAGAGGAAGTATATCACTAGGGCTGGATTTTGAGGTATCAAAGCCACATGCTACATGCTCTCTCTGCTTCCTGCTGGTAACTTCAGACATGAGCTTTCAGTTTCAGTTCCAGCTGCCATGTCTGCTGCCTCCTCCCTGCCATGGTGAACTCTTAGCCCTCTGGAATTGTGAGCTCCAAACAAAACCTTTCTTCTATGAGTTGCCTTGGTCCTGGTGTTTTGCCACAGCCACAGAAAAGGAAGTAATATGGAAGCACTGCTTAACAGAAGGTTTGAAGATGCTGGGAGCGTGCCCTCAGAGGGATCCAGGCTGCTTTTCATGTCCCAGCCATGAAGTTGGATGGCTTTGTCCTGTTCCATGTTTCTGCTAAGATCTGTCACCACACCAATGGGCCAATTATTTATACCTTCAGATGTACAAAACTGACTCCCCCAATGCTTTCTGCTTCTATAAGGTGCTTATTTCAATTGTTACAGTAACTAAAAGCTATTGGGGGAACAAATTAAAAAGTAAAAAAGATGAGAAGGCTACAGAGAGAGTTAGCCAGGACAAGATCATGGGACCTTTGAAGACTATGTTAGAGTTTATTTAGTTTTTGACACATGGTCTTACTATATATCCAGGCTAGCCTCAAATTCACAATTCTCCTGCTTTTACCTCAAAGTGCTAGAATTATAGGCAAGTGCCACCATGTCCTGTGAGATCTGTGGCTTTGCCCCCACAGCAGTGAGAAGTATTTCAGTAGGAGAGAGACCCATTTATATTTGTGGTGCTAATTAATTCTCCTAAGACTCAAGGCATGAACAGTCATACCTGGTCATATGTCTACTTGACAGGCAACCCAAGAGGGTAAGTCTAGAGAGTTCTTAAATATCAAAAGTGTATAATGTAGCACATGATTGACTACAGAAGGGATTCTTCTGATTAGTCACTTGATAGGTCCAATCATTCATTGGCAGGTGTTTAATTTTGATAACAATTCAAAATTTGTTCTCTACTGACAGCCATCTGTAATGCAATCTGAATTCCCTGAGATCATTAACTGTTTGAGAGAGCTCTCTGTCAATTCTATCCAGTCTGCCAGTTTGCGAATTAAAGAATGATGTGTAATTGACTTAGGCACAGTGTTCGCTAGTTAGGTGAGCTTAAAGACTCTTATCTGACCAAGAGGGTGGCTTCGGCTAAATCAGTTAGCAAGAAGAACCATACAATGGGAGCAATAGCTTGTAGCTACAAAGTGGAGAGGCTCGTCCCTGATGGAACAGAAAGGATGGAGGAGAGAGCCATCACCCATGGAACGGATGTGACTGGGGAAGCAAAGGCGACATGGTCCATCTGAAGCATCATGTTATATTTACTATACTCCAACCCTGCTTCAGTTTTCCCCCACATCTTTCTGATTACATCAAAAGGAAAATATTTTTGTTGTGTCTCTGCTGTTAAAAGCACTCCATTGTTGCCAATCTCTTAACAGCACATATGAAGCTCAGGTGCCTTTGGCTGAAGAGGTTTAATGACACTGCTTTAAGAACAACCCTATAGTACACATTTCCTGTATTCACAGCACCTCCTGGTCTACCCCACTCCACAGAACTAGTGGAAGAACAATCTGTGAGGCAGGCAGGTGGCCTGTTTTGCAGAAGAAGGAACTGGTGAAGGTGCTGGAGTGTTAAGTCACATAGCTTGGACCTCAGTGTCTGGTCTGCATCTGTTTATTTCACTCTTGTCCCATGGTACCAGTTTTCCTGTGTCTTATATCACCCTGTCACTCAGTTTCCTAATCATGTGCACCACAGGGAGAAATGTCAGCTCAATTAGTTGTTAGAAAATGCTTTTCCTTTGTCTATATCTATAGGAATATGTATATATGTGTATAATAATGTCTGAGAGAGATCGGTGGAGAGAAGAGAGAGAGAATGAGAAAATGGGAATGTTGGAAGTGTTCTGACTGGCTTAGGG